AATCTAAAAAAAATGTGTAAAGATTTGGAACACTCCTCACTTTAACTGCAGTTTTCGCGCACTCTATCTACAGATGTAAATACAGTTCGATCTACAAGTTGTCTGTGGTTCGGACTATAATTAAACTTAAGTGTCAAATGATTCTAAATCATAGGGTTAAAAACATCTTTTTCCCTCTCTGGGTCTTTCTTTCTCCCACCTATTCAGTTATTTACCTCATATTATACCTTTCAGTTATTACCTCATAGTTATTACATTGGTTTTACCTCGGATGTTGACGGGAGTTGAACCTCGGACTTCGGAGTTGGGAGCCCGGTACGCTGACCACTGAGCCACTGCGACACGATAGCTCTGGTGCCGCAGTAACCTGGTGTCATGCCAAGGATCCCGGCCCGTCGGCCTACTTGTCTAACTACAGTTTAACTACAGTTTCTCTGTAATTCAACTGTGGCAGTTTGGGGATCCCTAGCCTTGTCCGGTTTTTTTTACGTGTTAACGTTTATAATTATAACGTCCTCTTCCCTGGTCAATATCACGAATAACAGAACTTCGCCTCTAGTAAAGCGATTCTTAACCGGGAAACAGAAATTTTGTTGGCGTTAGGGTGAGGTACTTGGGTAGCGACCCCGCTAAGGGACATATTTCTGCTGTACGCATACGGAGGAACCACCGGTTGTTTGGCAGGTCGAAGAGGCAGGTAGGCCGTAGGAAGGGCGCGCCTAGGCTAGGCGACGGAAAACCCCACCGACCAAGGAATCGACAAACTCATCGCACAGGTGAAGCAAAGAGAGAGTACTGTCGGTAAAAAGACGTTCTGAGTGTACGTTGTCACATAAAGTCTACTTATATTTTAAGTGCAACATATGCACAGTTCAAAACTGTAAACTATATTTGCTGTTTTCAGTCTAAGATAACAACAGTCTGATTGAAATATAACTGAAAAAATAACTGCTTTGATGAATTGCAGCAGTATTAAAATCTGAAGTATAGCAGTTTTATACTTGAAAATAGTGTTTAAGCGCAGTTTGTAACACAATAATGAAATTCATTCGTAAGACTCAAATATCTGTTCTAAGACTGTACTTATAACTACAGTTTTAACTTGTAGAGCGCAATGCAGCCAACATTGTAAATGTAAAAGCAGTGTGACTGCTGTCATTATATAAATGGAATTACGGAACAATTAAGAGTTAAGAGATGCATAATGACTACAGTTAACCTATAGTTTCAGATAGTATATCGGAACTGCAGTTCGATGTCTACAGTTTTAACTACAGTCATAATGCACATCCTTCCACGCGGGCTCCCTCCCTCCCTCCCTCCCTCCCTCCCTCTCTCCCTCTCCCTCTCTCCCTCTCCCTATCTCCCCCCCTTTCCCACCACCGTCGTCTTCATGAGAACAGATGATGAGGTGATCAAAGCTGGCGGCGTCATGAACTCGCCGATATGTCATGTCAGGCGGCGGCGCCTTCCCCGCGCATCGCGGCTTTGTGCTCTTTGTGCTCGCACCCGGTACACGGTTGTAAAATCAACGAGAAAGAGGGAGGAAAGAGGCGGAGGGGGGCGGGGGCAGTTGTTTTTTTCTTTTTTTCTCTTGTTGGAAACAGTCTTGGGGACTGTCTAGAAAAGCTTCACCGGTTGTTGTGTTTTTCGATAAAATTTCTTCCTATATCCCAAAATTTAAAAGTGTACTCTTATTCGGATTGTTTTCCTTACTTCTCACCGCAATTTACAGTAAACTTGTAGATGGTAACGCATTGTTTTAAAATGTTATTCCATGATAAACTCTTTAGCTGATGATTGTGTTCTACCAAACATTTCCATATAGGTGAAACGGCCCTACTCTTGACTTTGTTTTATTCTGCCCCAATACCATTCAATCGAACCCTTTTCAACGCCAACAATGTGTCGGCGGCGCGTGCGCTGCGCGTTCCAGGCCACGAACCTTTAGCCCCGGATTGAGCTATCCGCAGGGCGAGAGCGCAGCGTAGGCCGACGACTTACACGGCTGTTCGGCGGGCTTGCCTACCAGCACGTTGCAGGCGCCGTATAGCTCTACCAACATGTTTTTGGCCCGAGGAGAATTTCCTGGTAGTGTGTGAATGCACTACAGTTGGGGGTGTAAGGGAAGGTGGGGTAGATTGGGACACGGGGTACATTGGGACAGTAGCAATATCACATATTTTTAACAGTATTTACGTACTGAAAAAAATTGACACGTAGCCAATGTTAGCATATTTCATGATGGTATCAGTGTTGGGAAGATTGTACACCATGTCTGATGTACAGAAAATATCAAAATACGATAAGCTCAAAAATCTGTTAAAAGTAAGGTACCTTGTTATTTTATTTTGCTATTTTCTACGCGAACTGAAATGAGATAGAAAATCGCGCAAGTGGCTGGTCAGTAGGTAGTTCCTTACGACGCATTTTGCAAATAAGGATTTTGAGTTGAATCCCAAAATACCGAAGAAAAAGAAAGAAATCACAGGAAAGGCAATTAAGTGCACACTGGGACAGTACACCAAATGTGCTCAATGTAACCCCTCAAAAAATCCAAAAACTGTCTCATCTTGTAGATAACTGGCCTATTTAGGCTTCCAGACCGCAAGGCGGTTCGTATGCTGATATTTCACAGGAAAGCGCGTCAACTGTCCCAATGTGCCCCATCTTATGTATTCTTATGGTGTCCCAATGTGCCCCGTGCCCGGGAACATTGGGACAGGTGACACATTTCGGGGGAATCTCTCTACAGCCAAAGAGCATGAGATAAAAAATCAGGACGATATAGGCTGTGATAGGCCACATATTAATGTACAATTGTAGCCAGTACCGGTCATTCCAACATGCATGATCTCCGACCTACAGCAAAAAGAAAAAATCCGTCCCAATCTACCCCACCTTCCCTTAAAAGCCGCACCTCGAGTTCAAGGTGGTAAAATTCGTTTTCTGGATGGGTAAACCTGCACAAGCCGCGTGTGTGAACGCACTTCCGTTGGGGGGTGTGAAGCCGCGACGCGAGCCCAAGGTGGTAAAGTTCGTTTACTGGGTGGGCAAAACTACCCGGGCCGGTATTCGCAGCTCGTGGGCAAGCGGGGATGTCTCACGTGCCCAGCTTGTGAATTTCCATTGTGGTTCGTGAAATTCGCAAGTGTGGGCAGTGATATGCACATGCCCAGTGGGCGCACGTATTAGCTGGGCAAAGTTTGAAAGTCCACTAAGCAGGTTGAATTCCATGAATTTTTTTCATAGTATGCTTTCAAACGCGATGATTTCCTAGATTGAGATTTATTTTTCACAGTGTAAGAGCAGAGTGGGAGGGATGGTCAACGGCCCTACACCGTCCGAGTCCTGGAAGACGTCCTGTCCCTATTCACTAGTCGTGTCGCAGTGGGCTCGCTATCTTGCCTATTCCGGACGAATAACCCTCGCACGAGCACGGGCGTCCCCGCCGAACATAGTTTGCTAAGTCCGCGACGCTACGCCGCGTGCAACTCGTAGCAGGGGGCCGTGGGGAGCACGGCGGCGGCTCGCGCACGCACGTCCTGCACTCTGCCGAAAGAAAAATGTACCCCCAAAGCACTCCAAATGGACACGGTGACAAACACTTGTAAGCGGGTCAGGAAATTTTCCGATGATCTGTGCTGTAAAATTTAAATTTCAGATGTTAAAATTAGAAGAACTAGGTTTTGGCTTGGAATTCATTGCAGGGCAAGAATAGGTCGTTGTAAATTTACGAAATACGTTTTAAATTTACGGAGATATTTTTCACAGTGTGCAGTATACTGTAAAGTTGACGTATTGTCCTTTTTCTAAAGAGTGTACTGAGCATACACTGTAAGTTTCTTGCAAGTAACTGCTTTTCGTCACGCATTTGGAACATTTTTGTTATACATGAGCATATTCTTCGTATAACAAAGAGCCTTGTTTCTATTGTAAACCAGGTCTTTTCATTTTGAACCGCGTCTCTTCGTGATATGAAGAAACATGACAGCGCCGGATCCTGTGTACGTCACACACTTAATTCTTCGGAATACATCACTGCTGCTTTTACGGAACTAAGAGTGTAAATTATACAAATATTTCCCTCGTTAGAAAGAACGTATATGCCATTCGCCATGCATTCGCCGTTATGAACAGCTCCCATAGCGCCTGATAGGTAGGCAACATTTTGCCCGCGGGGCGTGCGTGTACTGCGGGCTGGCCTACCCTGAGTCTCGCAGGCGCCAAGCTCACCTTGAGCTGCCGAATTTTTTTTATTTTTTTTTCGCCCTGAAATCACAAAAAAAGTACATGAACACTGTAAGTGTACAGTTCGGCTGTCACTGCTTGTTCCCCACCAAGAGTCGCAGACTGATTGCACGCTGGGACAGGCCGAGAGGGCGCCCGCCCTCAGGGACACGAGCAGCAGAGGGGTCGACGCCCTCCGCAGAGCTCAGACTTCTCTCGGAGAGCGTGCGGAGGAGGTTCCGCCGGAGGTTGTCCAGTTTCAGGCGCCCCTGCGTGGGGCAGAGCAGAGCTTAACACTGACGGACGTCCGAGCGGGACACGCAGTGTGGGTGTGAGCGGGCCAAGGGGGGGGGGGGGCGCATTGCTGCCCATCCGTCTCCGCGGCTGGCCCCGCGCTGCGCCCCGCCCCCTGCTTGTTTTGAAAGCACTGCTGTCCCCAAGGTCGAGCTCGGCACAGCTGCGGCAGCTGCCGCGGGGTTGCAGAGGGGGAGCCCACCACCCCCTTCATCTCTCCTCTCAGCTTCAATAGCTCTGCGCTCCTCATCAAATAACAGAGTGCCATGGCTATGCGAGGCACGCACTGCAAGGGGTCTGTCATTGTCGTGTTACTTTGCACTGTTCACAGCGCCCGCCACGGCTTCCTCAAGTGCGTGTACGGACTGGCCAAGCACAAGTGCGGGACCAGCAGCGCGGTGTTTCTGCGCAGCATCGCCGAGACGCTCTCGTCGGTGAGGGTCGAGTCCAAGGTCTGTCGCCTCGTCAGCTACGCGCAGTGCTCCGGGTCGGCCCGGACGGCACAGCGCACAGCGCCGCCCGCCGCCTGGTTGGGGCTGATCGCGGGGCTTGCCCTGTACCGTGTGTACCAGCTGTGAAAGGGCACGCAGTCGTCTTATTATTATTATTATTATTATTATTATTAAGTAAATAAATAAGTGTTCCGTTTCTTATGTCAGAGTCTATCCTTTCCAAAACGTATACAGAGTCACGCTGTGCCGTTGGTAACGGCATTCCCTGTTGTTTTGTTTTTCCTGCTTTTACGATTGTGCTTCATGACTTAATTGGTAAAGGCTTGTAAATGCGTACGATTAGTTTTCGAGGTTCCCGCCAAAATAAATGCGACAGAAAGGATGAGAAATTCTCTGTCGCATGTATCATATTTTCATGCTGCTTTTTTCCCTCGCCTCAACAATTACTGCATTTCCTTTTTCCTATATGAAGAACTTTGACAGTGAAACGCAAGGTTTTGATTCTTGCAGGCCTAACAGTCTTGACGCAACACCACAAGGCATAAAATTCGTAGGGGGCAAACGCAAAAACTAGCAGCCTCGAATGTGAATCGCAATATGGCGCGCACACTCTGTGCGTTGTTCGTTGCCTCCCTCCCAATGGAAGCCATATTGATTTTTTTAAATATGAAGAGATAGGTGTGGTTATTTCTCTGTTTAGAACTATGAACAAACATATGGTATTTTGGAGTCCAGATCAAAATAGAAGAGGCTGTTAGTTATGTCGCGGGAAACCGCAACATTCCCTCGATAACATTCAGCATAGACTGGATGTGCCGAACGGTGGGTATCGTTTTCTATTCCTAGGCCTACGGCTAGGTTTCATCAACAATACTGTAGACTAGACAGCTGCATTTCGTACATTTACATAAATAGGAACTGAATCTCATGCCATGTCTTCCCAACGTCTGCGTAATTTTGTGCTCATCTTACCAGCAGAATGCCCTAAACTGTGAAAGGTGTTGTTGTAGTTTGTTGTCACGGATACATGTTGCTTCATATGGTTTTGTAGTTTATTTTCATGTTCTCTGTTTACGCTGATTTGTTTTATCTTCTTTTCTTAAAAGTTCAGCCGTTCTCGTACATTTCTTCCTCTTTCCTTCAAAGCAACATAAGGAAGACAGTGGTCTTCTAACCTAAATTTCAGTCAAGTGTCAATTGACACACATATCTAATATTTACTGAACATACTCTTCTGATCAATTATATTTAGTTCCACAACCATAGACCGCTGTTAACTTTTCTTTGTCTTTATTTAATTCCTTATGCACACTAATATCTGTTGCTTCCATACTCTGCCTACTCATTAAGATTAATTAAGAGTCTTGGGTGAGGCACCTAGTTTACCAGGAGGGTTTTCTTTTACTTGACTGTTATGGGATTTCCTGGGGAATTCATTGCAGTTGTCATGTCTACTACGTCCTGTACTTCATTATGACATCATAAACACTATGTCTTTTCCCTTATTACATTCATGATTTCTTCCAGGGGGTGTCTTTAATGTAGAATGAGCAGTTGGACTGAAAGAATGCATCGCCGAGCTGCTACATTTAGCAATGTGGTCACATCATGTGGACACCCCACATATGCCTTCCCTCATCGTCTGGAGAAGTATGTCACATCCTACCTGCCGCCCCTGTGTTTTATCGGTCAAGTTCATCCTACATGTCATCCTTCCAATCTCAGGGTGAAGTTTGGCGTTCATCTTGATGAAGTATGTAAGAACGACATTCCTGCACCACTCTTGGTGCTCATACTAAAGCTCAATAAGGAGGCACCATTCAAGAAAGATGTATTTCGTGCACCTGGGTACCAGGTTTGTATTTTGACTTTATATTAAACACTATCTGATAGTTTTCTTGATTCTATTTAACATGGCATTCTTTATTACAGGGCTCAATGAAAAAGCTCTCTCACTTCTTGCAAGCGGGGCGCCTTGTCAACATTGATAACTTTTCTGTGTATACAATTGCATCCGTCCTGAAAAAGTTTCTTCGGAAGATTCCAGGGGGCATATTTGGCCGAATCAATGAACAACGTCTTTTTCATATAATTACTTTGGAAAGTATGGAGGAACAACGTAATGAAATCCATAGGTAGGCAAATAAACTTATGTTGTTTTATTGATCCTTTACGTGTTGGCTACTTATAAGATACTACTTTATTTATAAATTAATTCTTACAGACTAATAACATCAATGCCAGTCCACACGCAACGCTTACTTGTGCTTCTTTTTGGGACATTCAGAGTCATTGCAGCCAATGCAGATCGTGCAGGCACTGGAATGACTTCAGAAGCCCTTGGTGTATCTGTTGCTCCTAGTTTCTTTCAGAGTTGTGTCAGTGATGGAAAAACAGCTAAAATGGAAGATGTTCTACGATATAAGGTACAGTGCAAAGTATTTTTATCTAATGTAACCTAATGTGATATATGAACAAAGTGATTGCCATTGTCATAGTTAAATAAGAACCAGTCATACATTAAATTTGCTGTAATTGCATATAATTTGGGAAATGCATATATTTGGAATTACGGCTTCAAACATGTTTTAACCTTAGTTCATTTAAAAATTGGCTCTTTGCATTTTGTATGCTTTTCACATTATTTTAAGTGTAGATTTGCTTTCAATTAAATTTTGTAGACTAACAATTTTCTATATCTAACTAACAACAATCGGATATTTCTGTTTGTTTTATTGTACATACAGTATTTTTATTGTAATAAGGGACATCTGAAGGGTAGTGTTTGAACTGGATCTTGGGGATGCACCTGCACTTTGCAAGCCTTTACTAGGTGAAAGGGGGAAATCAGATTTTATTGTGCTGTAGATGCATTTGGTAGGCTCCAAATTTCCTTCCTTTCAATGCTCTTAAAATTTGAATGACAATTGGGTGCTGACTCTACATCTCCATGATCTTGGTGTACATTTTTTCAATTTATTTTTTTTGTTGAATTTTGAATCTTATACTTTTTGTGTCTGATTTGGTATTTTGAACTGGATTATTAATTACCATGGCTGAAGTGCCTTAAAAGGTTCTGTTCCTGAAAAGTAAACACATATTCATTAATTTTTCTATTTTTTCTGCTATCCCACTTAGGCTGAAGTTAACGTGAGTATTAGATTTTTCAAACTTCTCTTACCCTTCACTTCAGACCTGTCAATCCCCTTTGCCCTTGGTGTTTTAAACATAAAGAATTTTAAAGTTCCTGCACTTTTGTTTATCGATTTCTGGTGGTACTCTAATGCTTGGTAGCATCTGCATAATTTTTGGTGTATGTATTCTTTGTGTTTGTGTGTGTGTGTCTGTGTGAGAGCTGTATAGTCATCTAATTTTTGCTATTTATCTTTTAACAACTATGTAGCACCTAAGAAATTGATCACACATAGTGTGAATGAATGTATTTATGGTGGATGAAAATACATACTGCTTTGTTTAGTAGAACTTCATGACTTAGACTGTCAAAAAATCCTTTCTCAATTTACTCCTCAATATATATGATGTATTGGATGTATCAAAGTATGTTTCTAAACCTTTGCTCTTTTTACAGGTGGCCACACGCATAATGAAATTCCTCATTGATAACTTTGGTGTTAGCAACTTGTTTGGACGGGAGAACTATGAATTTTATGCACGTATCACCGGTCGCATCCTGAAGGTTGAAGATGATTGGATATTCAGCTTTAGATATCCTCCTGATTCATTTGTTTCTCGTAAGTGCTCAGTCATTCTATCTTGTTAATAATGATTTTGATTAGTTGAAGACGTCACTGTGGTATAAATACTGTGAATGCACCCTAATTTAGTTGCACTAGTCTTTTTGTTAAAATTTTAACTATTCATATGTGGAATCTTTCTGATAGCCATTGATTCAGTGATAAAAGGGGGGTCGTTTTCTGCAAAATGTAATAACATGGTAACAGCCGTTTTTCATAGAACACATGGTACTACTTATTAATCATTAAACATAACATGTCTAGCTGCTAGCATGTGTAAGTCATATACTGGATTATATAGAAGGAGTAACATTAAAATGTTTTATCTTCTTTAAAGCCATGTCTCATCAAGAAGAAAGTCAGTCAACTCCAGCTCTGATTCACATTCCTGGTGGTCTTGATCCTAGTGTAGCTAATAGCTCCCTAGGCATCATCCCAGAAAATAATCTTCTTGAGAGCTACACTCGTCTATCAATCAGCCTTGAGGAAAATGGCCTTTTTAAGGTATGTATTGGTGGACCTCATATACCTGAACACTTCTTACATATCAGCTTACATTCCTGTTATATCTTAGGCGGCAAGCCGGTCATCTTCAAGTTCTGCAACTGCTAGTCATCACATGACCTTAGATGAGCTGAGAGCAGTAAATCGTTATGCAGAGAGCACTAAAAGTCTTTCTTACCTTCCTCAAGTGAGTCGGTGACCAATGATTTCAATCAAAGCTATAGCTACTGCTAAATACATTATAGCTTGGATATGTTTATATTCTAGTGTCACTATTGCTTTACCATGAAAGCTTTGCACTTTATTTTATGGCTTGATATCTTATTCACTTAAATTTTATTCCCATTTGTAATTTTACATTTTAATCCTAATAAAAAACATACATGTTTATTTGCAATAAAATTTGTCGCTACCATGGAAACTTTTATTTTGGTGTTGTATTTAACAATATGCTACATATCAGCCTTACATTACTTGCATAGATTGCACATACTAGTTTTCAAGTTACATGTACACTCAGCTTGAATTTTCTAAGTCTGCTGCATCAAATGTATTTGCAATTGCCTTCTTAGTGAATTTTTGGACTTGAATTCCAAGGTCTAGGTACATTAGAAATTGTTATTCTGTTTTCAATAGAATTCTGCAAGATATTTATGATATCTGCATTTGTTGTCAGTTTTAATCTTTACCATCTTGATGCTTGATGTCTTACTTTTACCCTTTTCAAAACATAAGGTAAGGTTTTCATTTATTAACTGATGCATGGCACGTCATCTTTTTAATTTGCAACACATTCCTCTCTGCACCCTGTGCTTATTACCTTATCAATGTCACCTCACATAGTAAGCCTTGCTCTTTACTAACCAATATGATGAAAAGTCAGGAAGCTTGTGCCAACATGCATTTTGGGCAATTCCCCCAAAAATGGTAACCAATTTCTGAGTGAAGGGATTTGTGAGTGACTGAAAGGTGCTACGAGTTATTGAAGCTTATGATTAGATGCATCATTTTGAGAACGCTTCTGAGCATGAGTTGCAACCGTACGAAGCACCTCTCACGTCAGTCACCCGCAAATGCCGTCACTAATAGACACCACTTCCCGGGATTGCCCTTACATTATGCAAGAAAAGAGGACTTGTTTCTTGACCAAAATGGTGACCGACAATCAAAACAATGTGGGTTCAAGGTTTTTTCTTATAATTCAGAATGGTGATTAACATTTACTTTAGTATGTTGGACTTTTCTAATTTTGACTGGGAACACTGGCTTTTATTGTTATAGAAGCTATGAAACTGTTCCATAAAGGTAAATCATTAATACTATTTTTACTGTTGTACAACTGGACTGTCCACAATTATACAGCTAAATATTTGGCCCTTAGTCTTGAACTTTCATCTTCACTGTGCGTCTTCTATTCAAGGTGTTTTGCCTCCAAACCGATTGGTATGTTAAGTACGGTAAATCAAGTTTGTATTTTCCAGGTCCACGAGCGTCAGACTGAACGAATGCGCACACGATCCGAATGGTTCTTAACTCCTACTGCTGCTGCCCAATTTGAATGTGCATATGGTGGGTGCATTGACTCAGACCCAACACTTCATGTTCTGAGAGGTGCTAATACACGTTCTTCATCTTCAAATATTGGTAAGCTTGAACTATTTTAAATTATCAGTCTATTTTAAACCAGTGAATCCATGTGAGTCAGATGATTGTTTTTCAGGTGCTGGGCTAAGTGCCAGTGCAGAATCTGTTCAGAAACGTCCAAGCATTAGGCGCACTAATAGCCGTAGTGAGAAAACTCGACATTTAGTTCACCGTAACTCCAGTCGCAGGAACAAAGAAAATGGGCAGAGAGGGACTTCTGACCGTGCTGACAGAGTTGAAAGAGCATCTGGATCGGGTGATTGCACACCGCCTTCAGAACAAATAAATTTGCCCTCCAATGTTACTCTTACCTATAAACCTAGGATATAGTGCCAGCTGGCTTTTACAAATGTGTTCATTTTGCAAGATTGTCAGAGGTGTATCAAGTCTACATATACCTGGGCTCTCACAGTCTGTGTCATGAGTCGCCTTGCTAAAAAGGAATTTGTGCTGTCGATTGCAAGCATTGTGAAAGGAAGTCATACATAGGAATGACTCAGTCTTTTATACACCTCTTTGAAATACCAAAGACTCTACAAATAATTTTTTTTCTATCTTAAGCTGTTGTGTAAGAGTGGTTTTGTATTTTCTGAGTGACCAATATTTTCCATTGTTCTTCAACTTCTAAATCTTCACAGCTTACAATTTCTAAAAGTTCAAGTCACATGTGTCGTCTCTTCTTTTAAGAATTGGGTGTAGGGCATAATTAACTGAAGAACAATTCTTGCAGATCATGCAATCACCACTATGTATCCATTACATGTACAGTTTGTTGTAAGTTTCCTTAAGTGGATTTGCAAAGAAATGCAGGATGATACACCCAGCTTTATTTTAAGTATTATGCAAAGGCATTTCATATTGCATTTTTAGTTTATTGTAATTTAAGATATTCAGATATTAATGTGAAATCTTGTCCTTTCTTTCCTTACCTAACTTGTGTTCATTGAAGAGAAGACATGTGGACATTCAAATGCCAAAACATGTGTATGTATTAATTTTGGGTTCTGACTAACATTTAGGATGAATTAGAGTTGTCAGTTTTGTCACCCACTTTGCACTACTTATCAATACTGTGAGCAACTGTATATTGACCATGGTGACTACCGCATTTTCTTAGGTTTGAAAAGAGACCTCTTCGGAAGATTTTGTTGAAATCTTTGTGATGTGATCATCTGGCTATCTTATGTTCTATTCCTTGTTACCAGATTTTGGAGTATGAACTTTATCTAATTGTTGGTTGACTTAGCAGCTCCTTTCTAGTTCTGTATGATGTTTGCCTTTAGCACAAGCTTGAGTCACTGCTTTTATTTTGTGTTATGCACGTGTATTACTGTATTATTATCATTATTATTATTGTTAGCATTTATGCAAATATGCCCATTATCTTCCCTGATCATGTTTTGTTTATCATTTAGTTTCCTCAGGTTAGGTGACTTTTCTGAACTCTCTGACGATGAGTCATAATGTAGCACATTTTTTCTTAACGTTGTCTAAACTTTTTTCTTTTATCATTCTTTAAGTGCATATTTATGTTATGGGTTAACTGTAACAGTTGCAAATTTCAAGACATAGATTGTAAACTTTTTCATATTATTGTGTATGTTGTACGTATGTATCAATTTTTATTTTTATATTTGTGCATATAAAACTATTTCCTACAATGTAAATCTATTTCCATGTAAGTGTTGTCTTCTGTTTTGGCTGTCCAGCCTTAGCAATTATAAATGGTGAACTGCTTTCAAAAAAAAAAAATAGACTGATGTGAGCTTTTTCTTAATTGCATATCTGACATATTTCTCTCTAGCCTATTCTACTTTGAGGTATCAAACTTTTTGCGAGGGGAGAAGCAAGTGCTAATTGCTTTGATAGGACTGTGTCTGACATTCTAGAGAAGAGCAGTTGCTTGCAAAAACAAAAACAAAAAAAGAGAGAATTTTAACTAGATTGTGTTCTATTTCAATGACCTGCTAAAATGATGTTGATGTAGCAGGGGCTAGAAGAATCATTTTTGTGTCATTCCCCTTCTAGCTGGACTGGTTTAACTGCTTTTGACTGATTTTTAGTTTTGTTTTTTTTGTGTTTCACAGCAATTTCTAGTTCAAAATGTTACCAAATATGTGATTACAGTTAATATATTTGTTCTTTCCTCTTGATTATTTCCCTCTAGTTTTTCGTGAGATTAAGGAGTTAGCGCAGAAATTGAGTCAGATTTTTATTTCTTAAAGCAAAGTACCCTTTGAATTTTAAGATATGATGTGGCAAAGTCTGTGACATTGTTCACTTCCCGATTGTTTCTACATTTAAGTATAAAGTGACAATAGTTTTGGTCAAAGACACCTCAGTAATGCTGCCGGCCAAATATCTGCCAAAGAATTATTCTCATCTGACTGATTTACCCCCTTTCTTATTATTAACTGAAGTATTGACCCGCCCTTTTGTCATATCAGCTTTTAAAGTGAAAAGGATAATGTCGGAGTATACACTTAAAGATTTATTCAATTTTTCAGATGGCTTAAGAGCACCTATTAAAATCATGATAATGATAAACCATGTCTACCTGAATTAATCTTCCAGTATTTGTTCTAACAGTTATTCTCTGGGCTGTGCCAAATATCTCTGTGCACCCAGCTGTGTCAGTTATGTTCAAGTGCTAAATTTTATTTTAGTTCCTGCTTTGGATAATACCCTGTGTAGTTCCAAACTAAAATACAAAATACTCCTAGCTGGCTTACTATGCTACTTTGTGCAAAGTGTACTCTTGTGCATAAGATATGTATGGTAGCTTAAATTTTTTTCTGAAAATGATATTGTTTTGTCCAAATTGCTATCTGTACCATATATTGTGACTATGCTGAATTTGAACAGGACTGCAGATGTCTTGTTTTAAAATTGAATTTAACCAGTTTGTGGTAATTTTAGATGCATAAGTCACTATGTATATCATATATTTACCATGTATATTATTAACATAGTATTGGCTCCCACCCCAAGCATCAGAGTGACTTTTGAGTTTAATGTATTGTTGTTGGAAGTGTAGAGAGTCTATTTGATCTTTATTGATATGTATGAACAAACTCTTATGAGGCAAGTCATGATGGACGTTTTTCTTTTAATATTCCATTTGTGTTAAAGAAGTTAATGTTCATGTTTTGTTTTTTATTCTCATTGCAATTACTCTCGAGGGACCATTTAAAACATTAGTTTGCCACTGTGTGTCAAAGTGTCAAACTCAACTATGAGAGTGGGAAAGTACTCCCTTTCCTTATCTCAGGAGCAATTGCAATGAGACTAGTTGTATTTTAGAGTTCTTTAAATATTCCTTGTACATTCTTACTCAGCATTTTGTATATGGTGAATTAATAAATAAAACGTGTTTGGTTTTTTACATGTTTGGGGTTTTTAGATTAACAGTCAGTACCAAGAAATAGGGTGGGTAGAAGACCCAAATGCATATTTACTCAAACAGAACAAAGGTGTCACCGATAGCAGACTGCGCCAGACCGGCCATGCTATGTGGACTCAGCTGGTAAGCGTATATAAAGAGGCGTAGCTCGCTTTCTTGGCTCGATTGCTCTAATCACAATATTCAACCATGTTCAGACAAAGCGTTATCATCGGAGCACTTCTAGCTGTCGGCATAGCAGTGAGTAGAACCATGAGGTCAAGGGTGTGTAAAGTTTATGCGCAACGTAAGTGAAATGTAAGTTACAACCGTTACGGCCAGATACAGTGTTATCCGAACCACCTATAAAACCAGTCCGCTAAAAACGACTTTGATTCTATGCCATCTGTAGGGAATTAATCAAAAAGTCAAGTCCGACATGCCGTTGGCGAACCTTTAAGTTTAGCCCGTGATAGCTCCGTTAGTGCCTGATAGACAGGCAACACCTTGCACGCGGGTACTGCGGGCTGGCCTACCCTGAGTCTCGCAGGCACCGAGCTGAGCTCCCTGTGAATCGTGAATCTGCCAGAAAAACGGCCAGAAAAACTTTTCTAGACGACTCCTAGGCATGTAAATTCTCTTTGGTAAAACTTAGAAAAACAAACAAAAGGCCTCACCGACGGACATGTCACCAACTTGGCAGCGGGGGGGATGACGTCGCGAATTGTTGCCACAGCTCGCCGCGGCTAGGCCCCAGCAGGACGCAGACGACACGTGGCTCTCCGCCGAGGACGCCGACTTGTCGGCCAACGACGACCTCCTGCTGAGCCTCGAGGTCGACCTGGGCACCGAGGACGTCGAGGACGCCCTGCCCGAGCCGGACTCGCCCGAGGACGAGACGCTGCTGTACCCGGTCGCCGTCGAGGAGCAGCAGCAGGAGCCCCAGGCCGAGTCTTCGTCCGCGTCTAGCTCCGAGGAGAGCGAGGCACCACGCGCGCGCCCCGCACCCTCTAGGAGCTCTTCCTCCTCGGAGTCCAGCTCGGAGGAGATCCAGGCACGCCGCGGCGGCCGCCCTAAGCACGGGCGTCGCCCCTAGCCGAAGGCTGCCTAATGATGCCATCGACACGTCAGTGACTTCTACATTGCGGTGTCACCTAAGCACTTGAAATAAAATTCCGCTTGTGAAAAAAATAATAATTATATAACACTGGGCCCTATATAGTCTGGTGGTGGCTGTCACAAGCGCCCAAGGGAGCCAGCTAAAATGAAAGAAAGAAAAAGAAAAAATCAAGCAAATTTGAATATGACCTAAAATCGCGTATCCTGATCATTTCATTATTGTCAAAGCTACAGCACTTCCCTGGCGTTGCCCCCTGCAGCCACACAACGATGGTCAACCTCGGAACGACCAGGACGACTGAAATATCGTGTTCGGGGATTCTCTCGCACGCTGAGTCCAAATCTGGTAGTGCCGATGTCGTCCGGGCCCCCGGGGACGTCATTGCATGGGGACCTTCCCGAGCACGCCCATGACCCCCCCACGACAAATACGATTCGGCTCCAAACGTTGTTACACACGGGCTGGTGTATATTTCTTAAAAGTCGCCAAATATAATTATTATTAATAGCAAATCGCCCATCATAGTTTATTATCCTGATCATTTCACTATTGTCACATGGCACTTCCCTGGCGTTGCCGCCTGGAGCCACTCACACAACGAGCATCCCCAAAGGATCACATCCTGGACAAGCGAGGCGGGATTGCCTACCCCAGGAAAGAATAACATCCCGCGACCACGATATGCCGGCGAGTGTTCCGTAATTATTGCTCTCCCCCTTTGCCGTGCCGCGTCCCCAACCCCTTCCCCTCTTCCCCACCCCCACCGCGCATTTCCCGCGCCTTTCTGGAAACGTAAACAAACAGTGAAGATCAGTGTCACGATCAGCGTTTCTGCCAAATACCGATAATACCTACTCATATAATTATTGATCATAGGATTTTAACTAGAATTTTAGAGTGGACATCGCCGCTTTTCAATATTAATCGCAAGGTATAGTGCTTACTTGTTTCCGGTCCGGAATATTGAATTGTTTCCGGTTACTGTTGTAGGAGGTTATGCTCCTGTGGCCCAATTTTTACACGCACAATTAAGTTGTAAGTTAGTTTTTGAGGCCGAGTAAATGATGCCCGTGATGTAAATAACTTGGCTCACTGTCAGCTTTGTTGAAAAGGTGTTGAATGGGTAGACTCCTCCAATCCATGCAGTATGTTAAATACTGTTGTAGGTCCTTATGCAAATGGGTGAACCTGCCAGTGTTTTATCACATATCATATATTTAACTCTATTTTATTCTCGTGGAACAGAAAACTTTATTACTTTCTGATTGGGGTGCAAACCGAGTGGGACTATTTGCGTAATCCCCCAAACAAACAATTAATCAATGTGCGTTGCAGATTATTTGCAGCTGCTCCTTCGTACTTAATGCTTAGTCCAGTGCCAAAATTAGTTATTTGAAAGACCCTGGTCATTTAGAGACGCATGGGGGGAGAGGCATTTTAAAGTGTATTGTATGAGTTAATTATTTGTAATTAAAAGTTGATGAGCGCTAAAAGTACCGTT